TGGTTGCTAAAAGCAACAACAACAACAATGAATCAACAGCAATACTTTGATCTGGATCAGGGCAGGAACATATCCTGTGTCAATGATTGTTCCAGCACTAGCGGTTACAGCAGCGGAAATTCACCAACATCGATGTCACTGTCGCCTGCACATTCGCCGGAGACGTTTGCCTTGCAAAATGACTTTGCCAACCTCAATTTGCCCGCAATATCGAATTCACCTTCACCACAGCTACAGCAATTACGCGGCTCACCTTACCACCACACACAGCAGCAGACAGCAAATCAGCTGCTTACAAATGGCAACCTCTGCATGGAAATTGATGGCAGCAACAATTTATTGAATGGCAACACAAACTTTGGCAATATGTACATGCCCATGGATCATTTTTATGCCACGCCACAAATGGCTGGTTTTACGCCAATCGACGCAGGAATTAAAAATGAATATACCGCTGTGCTGCACATTGCCGAGCAGCCGGTGGAGAAATTTCGTTTTCGCTACAAAAGTGAAATGCATGGCACACACGGATCACTAAACGGCATCAACTCAAAGCGCACACCCAAAACGTTTCCGGAGGTAATGTTAAGCAATTATAAGGGACCAGCGGTCATACGTTGCAGTCTATTCCAAACTAATTTGGACAGCCCACATTCGCATCAGCTGGTGGTGCGCAAGGATGAGCGCGATGTATGCGATCCGCATGATTTGCATGTCTCACAGGAGCGCGGCTATGTAGCCCAGTTTATCAACATGGGCATCATACACACGGCCAAGAAGTATATATTCGATGAGCTGTTCAAAAAGAAAAAGGATCGTCTGGTCTTTCAAATGGGCCGCCGTGAGCTGTCGACCAAGCAGGTGCAGGAGCTGCATCAGGAGACAGAACGCGAGGCTAAAGATATGAATCTAAATCAGGTGCGTTGCGCTATTAATATATGTATATCTTTGCCCTGTACTCAATAATGGCTGCATTCCAGGTGCGACTCTGCTTTGAGGCCTTCAAGATTGAAGATAATCACAGCTGGACACCCATTGCGGCGCCCGTATTTAGCAATCCGATTAATAATCGCAAGTCCGCACAAACTGGCGAATTGCGGATTACGCGCTTGAGCAAACCCACGGGCAGCGTCATGGGTAACGATGAACTAATACTGCTCGTGGAGAAGGTCAGCAAGAAGAACATCAAAGTGCGCTTCTTTGAGGAGAACGATGATGGCGAAACGGTTTGGGAGGCATATGCCAAATTCCGTGAGTCGGATGTGCATCATCAGTATGCGATTGTGTGTCAGACACCCACCTATAAGGACAAAGAGGTGGATCGCGAGGTAGCCGTGTCCATTGAGCTGATCCGACCCTCTGATGATGAGCGCTCGTTTCCGCCATTGCCTTTCCGGTATAAGCCACGCGATGCAATTGTCTCGCGCAAACGCCGACGCACCTGCTCCACACTCACCAGCGGCAGCGGCAGCAATAGCAGTGGCGGCAGTACACACAACTCAATGGAGCTGCCCAAGACAGTGCCGCAGCAGGGCGGGGTCAATGTCTCCCAACATGATCAGACTATAAGTCAGGAATTTGGACGTGAATATCATTTGGAACAGCTAATAACCCCGGATTCGTTTCGCAAGCTGATCGAGCAAGACTCCACGGAGCTAGCTAAGCTATGTGTGCTCGAAATCGGCTCCCTAGATACAGATGGTCATGGGCGTGCGGAAAGCACTAATAACTTAACCATAGCACCAGCCACAGGGCAGAATCGCAACCTGACCACCATCTATCTTGGCGAGATCTTCAAATTGTTCGATGCTATGCGTCGTGCTGGCGATCAGCCAGAACTCTTTGATAGCTCCTGTAAAAAGGTGGCCAAGCTGTTCACCGACCATGCGCAAAAGAACGTGAACAATGATACGCTGCTGCACGAGGTGATTAGCCAAAGTAACGACAACCTAAAGCTGGCCATCAAAACATTCAATGTGATTAAATACTTTAAGCTGCAGGAGCTTGCGCACAGTAGCCTGAATGCAGATGGTGACAGCGGTTTGCATGTGGCCTGCCAGCATAATAGGGCGCATTATATACGCCCATTGCTGGCCTTGGGCTGCAATCCCAATCAGCGGAATTATATGGGCAATACGGCATTGCATTTGGCAGTCAAGGAGGAGCACAGCAATTGCATTGAGATCTTTCTCAATGGACCCGGTGTCAAGTTGGATTTGTCGCTAAAGAATGATGATGGCTTGACGCCGCTGCACATGGCCATCAGACAGAATATATATGATGTTGCCAAGAAGCTAATAAATCATGATCGCAGCTCCATAAATGTACCCAATACGACGGACGGCAATAATGCCCTGCATATGGCTGTGCTGGAACAAAGTGTGGAGTTGCTCGTTCTGATACTGGATGCACAGAATCTAACAGATATTTTGCTGGCCAGGAATTCGGCAGGCTATACGCCTTTGGAGCTGGCGCGCGACAAGGCCAATGAGCGTTGTGTGCGCCTGCTGGAGGAGGTGTATCCGGATAAGGGAGAGTCAGCCATGACCTGGATACCCCTTAATGTCAAAGAGGAAATTGACTCTTCATCCGCCGAGGATGACGAAGAGAGCAACCCGGACATAGCGTCGCATTCAATCAAAACCGAGGAAATTGAAATGATGTTTAAAGCAGAGCAGCAGGAAGACGGCACGACGGATGCAACCGATGCCAAGGCTCAATTGGAGCAGTTGCTTAATAACAAGTCCACGTTTAACAAACTGGTCAATCTGCTCAATGAGCCAACTGCACACAATCCCCATTTGCCCAAATGGAAAGAGCTCGCCGAGAAATCGGCGCTGAGCCAACTCGTATTCCTCTGGTCTAGCTCAGAGGGCATGCTCAACTATATACACCACAAGTCAAGTGTCATCGAGTACAAATCTTTTGCGCATGCTCTGCAGGAACTGGACATGCTGCACGCTTGCGATTAATTATATATATAAATCTATATTCTTTAAGTAACACTTTACATATATATTTATTAAGGTTAACAGCAATTCATTTTGCATTGCATAATAATATAATTTTCAATAAATTTTTACTTTTATCTCTGCATATGGGGAATTACCCAAAGTGTGTGTGTGTGTGTGTGTGTGTAGGTGCAGTGCAAAAAACAAGTGAATCACCGCGTAAGTTCTGAATATGTTTGTGTTTATGGGGAATTACCGCACAATCTCTGTGTGTACTTCCCCCCAAGAGCTAAGTACAAAGTGATTCTGGATTATCAGTTGCATACTAAAAATTGGATGGGGAACCCCTTTTTTTTAGCTAGCTCTGATTGATATACAACTAGGATGAAAATGGGAGCAGAAAAAGCGACATGCGTGCATTTTTTATTATTAGCTTCCTGCCACTTATAATTGAGACTCCCGTTTTATCCAATGTGCTTCTGCTTTCAGTAACATGGCTCAAATCATTAATGGCAATGACATGGCCCAGGATATACGCAAAAATTTGCGTAACGAGCTGCTGCAATTTGTTGCAGCTGGACATCGTGAGCCGCACCTGACAGCTATCATTGTGGGCGAGGATCCGGCCAGCAAGACATATGTGGAGAAGAAAGTGCTTGCCTGTAAGGAGATTGGCATAAGTAGCAAAACAATTGTGTTGCCCAAGTCAACCACACAGGAGGAGCTGCAGCGGTTGATCGAGCAGGAGAACAAGAATGAGAATGTGAACGGTATACTGGTGCAACTGCCGGTACCGGAGCACATTGATGAGCGCACCATATGCAATGCCATTAGTGCTGACAAGGACGTAGATGGCTTCAATGAGATCAACATTGGACGCCTAGCGCTGGACATGGAATGCATTGTTCCGGCGACGCCGTTGGGTGTGAAGACCATGCTGCAGCGCAGCAATATACAGACCTTTGGACGCAATGTTGTTGTCGTTGGGCGCTCCAAGAACGTCAGCCTGCCCTTGGCCATCATCTTACATTCGGATGGCAAGCATGCGGCCAAAGGTATGGACGCCACTGTTACCATCTGTCATCGCAATACGCCAGCCAAGGAGCTGGCCAAGCATTGCCGCCAAGCGGATATTCTTGTTGTGGCCGTGGGGAAGCCGGGCCTGATAACCAAGGATATGGTCAAGCCGGGCGCTTGTGTCATCGATGTGGGCATCTCCAGAATCCAGGATGAGGCGGGCAAATTCAAGCTAGTCGGCGACGTTGATTTCGATGGTAACTACATGATGCACACTCTGCTAATACCCTGTACTAATTTAACGTATTATCATTTGCAGAGGTTCGTCAGGTGGCTGGACACATTACGCCAGTGCCTGGAGGCGTTGGTCCCATGACAGTTGCCATGCTCATGCAAAATACTATACTGGCGGCCAAGAAACAGATTTCGAATCGAACCGATTAAAATCAGCAGCTGCTGGAAACTCTCGAATTTACATTTTTATTTCTGCTGCCTAACACAGCGGGCCATAGTATTTTGTTATTTAAACCATTAACCATTAGACGGAAAAAATAGACTAAGCAACAAGCCATTCATATAAATACCATATGTTATAGTAACAGTTAAATAAACTACATTCAAATGTAATAAAAATATGAAACGAAATCTTTTGATATTGCGACGTTCTTCAAAGGAGCTTAACAGCGTTGCCACATCGCAAAATGCAAGCAAAATCAGGGTTGTATTCGGAATATTATAAGAGCGGAGCATGCAGCAAAATGATCAAGTTTATGAGGTATATTTATGACACTTTAGCAATATAAGCTAGTCGAATTACGGCGACATTGGCGTTTTCTTTTCTTATCAAATTTACTGATAGACCTGTTAAATCTCGTATTGCGACACGGGCGATTTGTTTAAAGATTTTTACCAATATTGGCATTTTCTAGCATTGCATTGCTTTTCTATACAACTTTCCAAGATGGTTCTCTTTGAAATTCAAATAATTAAAATAAATAAATTTACCCCACACACGGTTGCCATGCCATGCTATTGAGCAAATGGGACTAGCTGGCAACTCTGTTAGTCGGTCGTTATGGTGTTTTCATATAAATCAGATTTAGTTCTCAAAGTAAATACAATATTAATTGTGCTCGCAATATCCTCTAAAGTTACTGGATATAAAAACACTTCACTCACAATGGAACCAATATACTGGTGCAAATTTGAGGTATTTGGAAAAGTGCAAGGTATTTGTGCGATCGAAAGCCACATTTGCAAATTTCTGTTATTGTTTTTTTTTTTTTTTTGCAGGCGTCTTCTTTCGCAAGGTAAGTCTAGCATAGATTGTCTGTCACAAGGGCGCTGTGGAATGTGCAACAAAGCTTTTTCGATTTATTATATAGTACACGGAGAAGCAGGCCAACATACTGGGAGTGCGCGGTTGGTGCAAGAATACGAAAGATGGCACTGTGAAGGGTGAATTGGAGGGACCGTTGGGACCGCTAAACGAAATGTAATGCAAATTGGGCTCAAACTTAATAGTCTATGTCCTGATTTGTGAAATAATGAATGCTTGCAGGAAACACTGGCTGCAGACCGAAGGTAGTCCCTGCTCAAAGATTGAAAAGGTCATATTTTCACAAACCATAGAAAGTGACAGCTACCGCTTCAATGGGTTCGTTATAAGAGATTAGACGGGTCCATGTGGAAATTGTTGCAACGTCCAAATTTAGAAGCCCGATAACCACAACGCAGCCCAAATGATTCGCGTCATTTGTTCTATGAATTAGTAGCTTACAAATTACCTAATGTTGGAAAAAATTTAAAGCTTCCTAGGTTTACTAAAATAACTTATAGTTCCTCACGTCCAGTCTACATACATATATAAATTCAGATGCCCAAGTTAACTTAAATTAAAAATTATCTTATCCACCAGAATTAATTTGATAAAATAATTTTTGAGCAGTCAACAACTAAAACTGTTTAAAATGCAACCAATTACACATTTTATTTACTATCTGCTATCATTTATTCGTAATTTTCCAATATCCGTAAAGTTTATATATTTCCACAAAAACAATAACAAATATAATGCTAATTTGTATTCAGAGTTGCATATTGTGTAGTAACGCTTTGTCACGTTTAGGTGTTGCCATTTGTGACTGAGTAACGATTTAAAGTAACTACTTGTAACGACATCTCACTTACACGCATTGCAACACTGATGCCGAATTGCCCATGTAGCAGCATGTGTTGGAGCGAGACAAGCGTATTGTCAGCATGCGTACTTTGGTCTGGCAGCACAGAAACGAGTACAGCTCCGAATACACGTCGTTTTGCCAAAAGCGTAGCAGGCAGCAAATGAAAAATATATAAATGAGGAAAAAATTTCGTGAAACAAGAACGACAAATATACCAAACGCGAGCCACGCCGCTGTAGTAAAAATCGACAGATTTAATAATTGCGTGCGTTGTGCAAGCGTCTGAAATTGTGCGTATAAAACAATATTACTTTTTAAGCAATTACAAATTCTTGCTTGCTTCTGCTTCTGTATGTCGATGTTTGTACTTGTGTGCGTGTATGTGTAGTTCACAGTTTGGTCACTTTCGCGCTGAAAACGTTTTCTACTACTTTTTCGTTGATACGAAAAAACACAAATATATTGTATGTGTGTGTATATGCACAGAGTTTGCGATAAAAGCGAAACTGTTTAAATATATTCACTAAATTTGAGGCGTATTAGTATATGCCCCTGAAGCGGTGTGAGCAAAAAAATAATGAAATTGTGTAAATAACTGAAAATAGTGCTAGACATATGCATGTGTGTATGTACATAACACACAGCTATACAAGCAGTAACCTCATGCATGGGTACAGACCTATGTGTATGCGTGTGTGAGTGAGTGCCTGTGTTTTATTTGTTTGTGTGCTGTCTGCGCGCACATATTGTAAAGGCGCGAGCTACTTAATTGCCAACGATGAAAAATTCAATAAAGAAATTACATAAAAAAAACATGGAAACTAAACGACCACGCATCACAATCTAGCACAGCACTAAAACGCTCGCGATGCATGTACTTAAACTGCACACATGCGTGATGAAATAATTTGAATATTCAAGCGCGCAGGCAGAGATTTCATCAGTAGTTTTTCCATTTGCATTTGTTAAAACATTGCTGTGCGAACCGCAGTATTCTAAAGTTTTTTTTATTGCGCATCATTGTGAATGAGCAATAGCGCGCGCTCTCTGCTCTGCTCTCACGTTCCTCTCACATAGGCGCTCTCGTGTGCGTGCGTGTTTGTTTGTGTGTGTGTGTGTGTTTTGAGTGTTACACATACGCACGCGGCGCCGGAAAAGACTTCCTATAGGCGGCGTAAAGGAAGAGGCAAGACGAAGGAAGAGGCAAATAAAACAACGGACATTTGTTATTTATCGTTAGTTGGTTTAATTATTATTATTATTATTATTAAGCAGCCGTACTTGCAGATGTCTGGCAATTTAAAATAAAGCGACTTTTACTATCGCTGTTAATTTGTGTAATTTCTGTTATCGATTATGCAAATCTGTGGCAACTTTAAAGCATCCAACCATTGCCCAAATAGTAGGCGAATTGAAACGTGTTGAGCCTTGTGTGTTTCTGTGCGCCAGAGCGGAAAAACAAAGTGTGCTTCAGTTCGGTGTCAGTTTTTCAAAATAAATTATTAAATTGGAAAAAATTGTTTCTACTCTCTTTTGAAGCGACCAACAGCAGACCCTCCTCCCCCCCAGAGCAACAAAGTGCATACAGAAATCAAGCGGTAGCGTTTCCGTAGTTTACCGTGGCCAAGTTTTGTATAGCTCGAGCCTGTAATGCAGCTGACCTGGCAATAGCGCCGCAGAAGTATGGCACCAGCGCTGACAGCCGAGCCACTGAGCCCCAAGGAGAAGCTAACCAGCAACGCCGCGCCCGCCACCGGTACGCGACAGTCTGTGCGAAAACTGGACTCGCCCAACGGTGGTGTCGGCGGCGATACGGCTAAGAAGCCATTAACTCTAACAGCCACAACGCGCGTGACACGCTCCAAGGACGCGGCACAGCGAACTGGCTCGCCTATTGTGCAGATCGTCAACAACAACAACAACAATAACAATAACAAACGTAAATCCAACAACCATAGCAACATTAGCTGCAGCAGCACCAACAACAGCGAAGTCAAATCCGTTGATAATCAAATGGGCATCAGCGCTGCAGCCACACACACGAGCAGCGACGGCAGTGCAGCCTCCTCCAGCAGCAGCAGCAGCGGCAGCGGCAGCAGCATTAGCAACGCGTCAGCTGCAGCAGCAACGTCGCCAGCTGCCAGCGCCACCGCGGAGCACAACAACAACTGCAAGGACAACTCAACGGCCGAGCTGCTGGCTAATCTGACAAGTGACTTCGAGGAGGCCATCACAGCTGAGATTTGTCTGCGCAAAACCCTGCCTGAGGTAAGCCACAGCAAGGAGCAGCCAGCCGAAGCCGAGGCCGAGGCAGCAGCCGCAGCTATAGCACATACCGTGCAATTGCTAGAGCCCGCGTTTATGCCAGAAGCCGAAGCTCAGTCCCAGTCAACAAGTTCAGCAGCAGCAGCGGCAGCAGCAGCAGCAGCAGCAGCAACAACACCAACGCCGGCAGCAGCAGCAACAACACTTACAGACTCCTCCCTACAGAGGTTGGCGGGGCAGGAACTACTTCCGCCCAGGGCGGACGGCGCAGTACAGGTGGCTGCTACTAACGAAATGCCAGATAATATTGAAGGTAAGCCTAGAACTATTTCAATTCCAACGTATTGCAAAGATTTCACGGTTCGCGTGCCCCAAAACCTTTTCGAGCAATTTGGGGTGTTAAGTCTTGGTGCGAACCACGTTCCGTTACCGAGTAAAGCGCCAGTTTTTGTTTTTCTTGAAAATTGCTTGTGTTTTGTTTGACATGTTTGTTCGGTTGGAAAATTTAGGATAGGCAATTTTCATTTATTCCCAAGATCCAAGCGAAACTAGCCGGATTTGTTGTTTTTTTCTTTTTCCTAGATGTATTTAAACATCAGCTTAACAGTTTGCTGTAAACTTCAGTTTTTGATTCATGTAAAACAAATGTTATTCATGTGAATTCTATTTTATCTCTAATATAATAATATATTTATTGCAAGATAGTTTCTATAGCAATAACTAACTGCTGCCAACATTGCTGCTGCCTTGTAATTAGGCAGCTTGTCCTTATTTATTTGAAGGGTATTTGCCTGTTGCGAAGTATTTGTATATTATAGATAAACATGTTCGGAAATATAATTTCTTTTAATAAAATAATAACTCTAATAAATGAGTATATTAAATCGTTTAATTGTTTTAAGATAATTGACTAAAACTGTAGTGACTGCTGTTAGACACAATAAAAAGCGTTACATAAACTGACTGAGCCGTTAACAGTTGTTTAAAATAACATACAAATGTTAGCGTATTGTATGTTATTTAACAGAATATGAATTCTATGTTATATTCATAAATCAAACAGATGATGTATAGATAGCACAACAGGTCATTCAACAGCACAAACTAATTTTAACTGCATTTTTAATTCTGATACTATAAATATTTAAATTAAAATTGATCATATTCCCTGTTCACAGAACGCCTTAGTCAACTGGATGGCAACCCGAGCGTTGTGTTGCCGCCCATTGTGGATATAAGCGCGGCGACGCTGGAATCAAGCGTTGCGCTGCCGACGACGCCCACCCGGCAACAACAGCAGCACCAGCAACAGTTGCTGCTCCATCAGCAGCAGCAGCAACAACAACAACAACAACAACCGTTGCAATTGCAGCAGCAGCTGCAACACCAGCAACAGCCGGAGATACTCGCCTCACCACAGCATTCAACAGTTGCGCGTCAGTCAGGCGCGTTACTCACGCCACAGAGCACGGCCAGCTCGATAAATTTTCTAAAGGATGGCACTACTGGCGCCGTCCTTGAGGATCAGGATTTTGAGGAGGTTTTAAAAGCGCTCAAGACACTTGACGGCGGTCACGTGAATCCGGATACAATCTGTGATTTCAATTTCTTTAACGAGGTGTGTTTTCCCTATAATGAGGAGGATGCAGCCGCTGCAGCAGCAACAGTCGCAGCTGGAACAACTGCATCAGCAGTAGCAGCCGCTGCAGCAGATGTTGGCCACAGCGGCAGCCACGAGCAGGAGTCAAAGGCCAATTGCAGTGCAGCAGCCGCGCCGCGTCCCTGGCAGGAGAGCCATGCGGAGTTGGAACAGCAACAGCACGAGCTGGTGCGCAAGATCAACGTTATGTTGTGGCGAATGCGTAAATTTCAGGCCCGGCAGATGTGCCGTCATGCCAGTGACGAGGTTGGCGGTATACTCGAATGGTCGGCGCGCAGCTCACATAAAGCGGCGCCCGCGGCGCCGGTGCGCAGCACCAAGCTTACTGAACAGGAGGACACGGTGCTCTCCATTGTCTCCGGCCGGCCGGGAAGCAGCTTCTGGGATGAGCAGACCAAGCAACCACTGCCTGCCAGCCAAATGAGCAATGTGCTGCGGCACATAGAAACGTCGGCGCGCAAGCAACAAATCTGTCATACAATTGGCGGCGGTTCCGCATCACTGGCATCCTCTTCCTCCTGGTATAGCAGCACCGCACAGCCGGGCAAACGCTCGCGCAAAACACAACCCATAGATACCAGCATAAACAGTACGACAGGCGTAGCTGATGGCATTCTGAACCCGCGAGCCGATGAGATTGTACCTAATTTTGACAATTATGTGACCAGCGAGTTGACGCATATTTCGGGAATGTTGCACACGGAAATGCGTGAAGTACAGACTGCCATCGACTCAGACGCCACAGAGTCTAGCTCTGGCGGCGAATCAGCCGATGAGATGGTTAACTACAACAATTCCCAGCAGTCTTCATTGTCAATGTAAGTGAGCATGTTAATCTTTAGGCTAATCTATTTAATCCTGATCCTGCTCCTGGCCCTGCCATGCCCCAAAATCATGTTTATTAAACAATGTGCGTGACGCAACCGCTTTAAGTGTTATAAACGAAAACACATCGAAATCTTATCATAAGCGACCAATATACCTATAGACATTTTCCATAACATCTAGTTTTAAGTAAGCGCACGCCATATTTAATGTAGATCGGACAAAAAAGTAAAAATCAAATAAAACGAATAGATAGCTACAGCGCTAGTCTATTGTTGTTTAATATTACATTGTTGATCGTAATATTCAGGCAGGGTAAACAATAATAATTAACTATATTTGTACGAAATTGAGACAAAATCAAACGCAGAAGCAATTGATATTCCATTTTGTGTTTAATCATCATTGGTCTAATTGCTAACCGTGTCCTTTATTAAAGCCTTTAATTAGTGACCCAATGACGTCAGTGTCATCAAATTATCAAATACTGTTACTTAATTTGGCCAGTATAGCCATTCCCCAATTCTGGGCAGAGTTCTGGGCTAAAATACATTTTGTATGCGTTTAGTCTCCTCTGTTAAATCGCAATTATGTAATAAAAGGATCATTGAGTAGCGATTAAAATGGCACTTAATTTTAGTTGTAAAAAGATCGTACTGGTCGCTTTTAAATATTCCAATTCAATGTAAATGAAAAATTTCTTTCTTTCTTTATATTTCGTAGAACACGTCGTGCCGTGTGGCGCTATTCGCGAGATCGTGCTGTTATTGCACTGCGCTGGTCCTGGCTGTGCGCCCAGGTTGCCGATCTGGACATGAAAATCCGGCAGCACAACGATGTGTACAACGATCTGTGTCGCACCAAGGGCGATGTAATGCTAGAACCGACGCCCGCTCCCAAGAATGGTTACAAGGAGCAACTGCAGCCGCAGACAGCGGTACAGCTGGATCCCGAACAGGCGTCCGCCGATTGGCTATGCAGTCGGGCCCGTCCCTTGGTGCTGTCCGAGTTTCGCAAACGTAAACTCTTCCAAACTACGAATATGCACACAATATCGAAAAAGGCCGCCAGGCCGAGCAACATTAAATGTGGCTGCCAGTGGCCCCAGGTGCCGTGTACATTGTGCACCGGCCGGCCGGATCCGACGGCGCCACGAGATTTACCTGAAACGTTGATGCCACAAAATCGTGTAGCGCTGCTCGATCCCGGCTATCATCCGGTGCTGAGCTTCTCTGACGGTAAGTCTTCAATAAGTTGAAATATCGAACAATTTATTCATAAGAATATGGATTCACGCGTTTTCCAGATGTTTGTCAGTCGGTGCATTTGGAGGCGATTGCCCGTCAGCCGGATTGGCAATATCGCGTTATGCGCAGCCAGGCCAAGGCAATTGTTAAGAGCGTCTGGAAGGCTGAGCGCGAGGCAGTTGCACTAAGTGGCGGCGGCGGCGCTGCTGGTGCTGGCGGTGCCGGTCGTCGTCCCGGCGAGACAGCCAAGCGCCGATATGTGCGCCGCAAAGAGCGCAACAACAATAATCAAAACAGAAGCAGCAGCAGCAGCAACAACAATAACAACAACAACAACAACAATAATAATAATAATAACAACAACAACAGCCACAATAATAATAATAAAGAAACCACACAAAACAATAACAACAGCAACAGCAACAACAATAGCAGCAGCAGCAGTGGGGTCGCCAACGTGGGATTGGATAGTGGAAACGGTACTGGTACTGCTACTACTTCTTCTTCTTCTACGCCTACTACAACGCCACTTGTGGCCAACAGTAAATTATTGTAAACATGACAAATTCGATAATTGATTATTAACATAAAACAACAACAATTTGCATCTTCTTCTTTTTCTTTCTTTTCTTTTTTCTTTACGCATTTCTTTTATGTTACACGGAACATCGTTACACACACGCGTACAACCACAACCACAAACACACACACACACCAACACACCTGCCAACACAAACAACACTGTGCAATAACAACGTACAACAAACGAACAACATTTGTTTTATTTTGCAATTTGTTTTCGTTTCCTCTCTCTTCAAATGTCTTTTGTGCCTGCATTTCCTGATTTTTGTTGGACGCCGCAGTGAGCAAAAGGCAGCGCCAGTTGGCCACGAGCACAGCCGCGGTATTTCCGATGCCTGATTCACGCCAGATGCACCAAAAATCGCAACAACTTAATAGCCACTCACTGATCTCCGGCAAAGGCAACGGCACTAAAAAGCCACGCAAATCCGCCTCCAATACACAACAAACACAATCAACACACAACAACAGCAGCAGATGCAGCAACCAACACTCCAGCGCTGGGGACAACATCAACAGTCGATTTGCCGGAGATACGCAATGGGAGCAACATCAGCAACACAGTCGCCGCAATTCCTCCGAAACGCACGGACAGCGCAATGAACGGTAAGTAGAGCATGTGTGACAACATTTTAGAAGAGCGAGTTTCTAAGCAAAAATATTAAAAGGATATTATAATAAGCAAAGGCGCGAATATCTGAGTGTCCTTTTGGCAAGGTACTAGCTAGTTAGTTGGAAGATTGACTGGGCTACTGAGAAAAGTATCAATCACCTTTAATATTAATTAATTCAATTATTTATTAAAACTTGTCTTGAGTCTGTCTGCTGTTGCATCAAATATATTTTAGGATATTCGTATGAGAAGTGCATATTTTAAAGTTGTATGTAGAACTCGATTCGCAGTTTTGCTGTTTTGCCAATATTATATCAAAATAATCGTATTATAAACTGCACTCAACAGCACATCAGATCGTCGCAGTCGACTTATTTACGACATTGATAACATCGTGATACCCTACAGCATGGCCGCTCAGACGCGTGTCGAAATTTTGCCCTACAAGGAGATACCTACACCAAAGTAAGTTAACATAGAAATTATAAATAATAGTCAGATAATCATGTTTAATATCTAATCAACATAGGTGGCGAATTGTGGACAGTGACAATGAGAAGAAACAACAATCAGCGAATGAATCAAAAACCCCTGTGAAGCTGAGCAATGGCTGTGCGGATACAAAGGCAGAGCAGGAGATGCCAGAAGCAGCAGGAACAGCAACTATACCCTCAACCGTAGGAGCAACTGCACCCGCAATTGTGGCAGCAACCGCATCTGCAACCGAAGCAGCAACTGCACCCGAAACCATAGCAGAAACTCCTCCGCCTGCAACTGCAGCAGCAACTTCACCTGCAACTGCAGCAGCAACTCTACCTGCAACCGCAGCAGCAGCAGCACCCCCAGCTGAAGCAACAACTGCAAAAGTGCCTCAGCTAAATAACAACACTCAAAAGAAGGCGCCGATCAAGCACGCGCCCAAGCTGAATGGCATCAAGCGCTCGAGCAAGAAGAAGAAGCACCTAACAGAGTCCGCCAAGCGGCAGGCACAGCAAGCGATTAGTAATGGACAGATCAATGGCAAAGATGAGCAGCCGCCGGCTGAGTTAAAGGAGCAGCAGCAGCAGCTGCCGGCGAAGAAGCTGCCTGTCAATGGCAAAACCAAAAAGCACAATAACAAAATCCCTGTGAATAATGTAAATAAAGCAAGCAAGTCAGCTGCCAAGACTGCTGCCCCGCCTGCATCTGTTGCTGGTAAGGCCGAAGTAGCTTCAGCTACGAGTACGGATGCAACAGTGCCAGCTGCTGGCAAGGATGCAAGCGCTTCAGTTGAAAAAGACAAACCCAATGTGGAAGCTGTGGAGCCGCCTGCCAAGCGCCCAAAGCTGCAGCTAGCACAAACATCCCCCGAGAAGTCGCAGGACAAGCTAAAGCAGGCTGCAGCAGCGGCCAGCGTCGCCGACGTTGTTGAGGAGGAAGAGGTGGAGGACATCTCTGATGAGGCGTACATAGCGCGGCATCAGCGTGCGCTCATCGAGGAGCGGCGTCGTTTCGAAACATTCTTAAAGTTCCCTTGGAGCACACGCTCGCGCGCCAATCGTCGTGTCGACAGTCGCGCCGAGTCAAGTGGCGCCAATACGCCCGATCCAACATCGCCAGCAGCTTCACAGCTAGCAGGACCTACAGCTGATAACGAGAGCATACCCTCACCCTTGGCACAAACCACGCAGCAGCACCCACTGGATGCCCTCTCAGGTGATGGTGAGATTACGAAACGGCGACGCACCACATCCAGTAAGCTAAAGGATCATGAGCGTCGTAGCAACACGCCAGATACCAGAGACGTGAGTGTATGTGTGCCATGTCAGAGTCTTGTTTTAACTTTGAATCTTTTTCAGCAAACGCAGGATCCGCCACCTTTTGAGCCGCTTCAGTTTCCGCTCTCTGAGGAGGTCTATCAGCGGCTGCTGGCCGAGATGTACGCCGAGCCCAAAGAGCCGGCGATACCAGCCGCACCGGCCAAGCGTACCAAGAGCAAATCGGTTTCCTCGAATGGAGATGGCTCAACAACAACCGCTGGCCGCCGACGCAGCAGCAAGGCCAAAGCCTCAACTGGCAGCAAGTTGGCGCAGTCCGCAGCACCACTAAATGGTGGCAAGAATGCCAAGAAATCTGTGGCACCTCACATTAATGGCGCCCAGGATGATGGCTATGACGATGGTATTGACTATGAGCCCGACGAGGATGAGAACGAACTACTGCTGGAGGAAGACGATGATTATCATTACCTGGCGGCACCAGATGATCAGTTGCCATCGGGCACGAATAATGCTAATGCGTACAATGCGAGCATCGATGCCTATCTGGGCGAGCATGAGGCACTCGACGATGAGGAGCTGGCCGACGATCCATTTATGGACGACGATCCCAATGATCCCGAATGGAAGCGCAGCATTGGCGTACGCCACGAGCGCATGCGCAAGCGTGTGTAAACAGCAACTGGCGAGAAATCAGAAGCCAGAAGCGAGAGCCACAGCGTAACGAGCGAAGCGAATAGCTAGCAACTAATGACGACAGGGCAGTCAGGAGCAGCAAGTAGCCCGCAGCGAAATACGAGTAGCTAGCAACGAGTTAGCAGAATGTGGCAACCAGCAAGTAGCGAGTATGAACCAGAAAACTAATCCAAAGCTATTAAGACCATGTGAAGTGAATTTCAATTTTAAATAATTCGTCAAATTTTAAAGCTATCAGCGAGACGCCTTTTAACTTGTTTTCAAGCATATTGTTTTCTTTTGTTGTTGTTTTTGTACTAAAGCAACATTTTCACCTTCAAAAGGAAAATCAAAAACTCAAATCGGAGCATAACATTTTCATTGCAGCCTAATTCTAAGCAATTTCTTAGTTATTTAGTTCTAAAAGAAAATAGTAATACAAATACAAAACACACGCCGCACACCCACACACAAGAACTCGTGAAATATTCAATGTAAATAGAAAGAAAACGAGCTAATCATTAAGAGAATAGTAAGAGATATATGTAGGAAACTAATGGATAAACCTAATGATAAAAATAATTATACTAAACTAGTTTAACAGAAAAACGCGATCGTTTAAAGCTTAAATTAAGGCAACAAAATAAATCACTTGCGGCTTCAAGTCAAAGGTGCGCTACCTTTAAATTAAATACATATATAAATCTAGTTATATAGATCGTCTGATCGCAAAAAAAGAAAAAAACGAAAAAAATAATAAACACGTTAATGTTAATGTAAAAAATGTATTCGCGCACCACAAACATAACAAAAAAAAAGAAAACTACATTTTTGCCAATTCAAAAAAAAAAGTAATTCCTTTTGATTATTTTTGCCAGAATTAAGTAATTTTTAAAAAAATGAAAACAGGCGAAACTATGAATATCTAAAAGAAATATATGTACACATAAAAATGGATATATTAAGTGCGCCACGTAAAATGGATTGATGTATTTAGTTTTTTAGGCGCTTTCATTTCTACTTCTACTTTAAAACAAAAATAGTTGTTAATTGTAGACATTTAAATTAAAAGATAAACTTAACTTTGAAACACACAAACAAAAACATATAGTCGATGCGTGGGTAAGTTTGTGTAATTCTCACGAAATGTTATATATATATATATCTATTTTTTCATTTTCTATATAAATATGTATATTGCTTTTTCTGTTTCAACTCACAAACTTCATGTAAAAGCCGTTAATTATTGAAAAGTGAAATGTGTATATGCAAAACTAAGGACATTAAAAAGCAAACAAATACAAAAACTATATTCGTAAAAACAATTAAAAACAATCTAAAAAAAAAAAAAAAAAAAAAAAAAAATTACCAAAAAACATAAATCACAAGCTGTTCTTTATTTTTCGTGCCATAATTTGCAACACATGTTGCGATTGCTCGAATAATTGCCGAGTTTTCTGTTCAACATGTGTCCCATTCGAGTCCACGCTTTGGAAGGGCAACAAGATGCGGGTAAAGCGCGCAATATAATCAATTCACAAACGACTTAAGCTCTATTCCGTTTGATCTCCCCATTATAGCTTAATGCGGCTATTCTACTCGCACTAATTGCTACCCTACAGATACAGCAGGCTTTAGGGGCAGGAACAGCAAAGTCAAGGAGCTTAATGTCCACGTGCCAGGACATGGAACATCAATTGGCGCTGATCGGGCGCACACTGGAGAAGCAACAGCGCCTGTTGCTGAATGTGGAATTTAAGCTTAATCAGGCGCTCAGCAAGTTGATTTCTTTCACTCATATAAGGCGAGTTGAGTTCATGGAGCAGGTATCTGGAAATTTGAGTAAGGCACTGGAACGCTGGGAGGCGAAGGGCAATGCAATATGGCAAAGTGCAAACAAACTACAGCAGAAATTCCAGTGGAACGATGAACAAGCCAGAAGCCTGGAAGAGATGCACTCGATGCTAGCATTGCTGCTGGCAAGCAATCAAAGTACTCGGGAAAGTAATAAGCACAAGGAAGACGATCTATTGGGAATGTCAAAGGAGCAGCTCTCACAGTTTGAAGAAACAAATAAACGCCAGTTCAATGAACAATCGAAAGTTGGTGAGTGTACGCATTCAATATAAAGGAACATCATCATTTACTTACCTGCCTGTTTTTTACTCAGAGTACGTGCAGCCCGCAAAAGCGGATTGCTATGAACTGGATGAGCTGCAGCGTGCGGATGGTGTTTACAAATTTCTGGAGCCGGAACTAAATGAACGGCATCGCGATTTCAATGAACGGCACTGTGCTTTTGCCACAGACGGTGCCGCCTGGACGATAATACAGCAACGCCATGAGGGCAACAATCTGCTGGCGGAGAACTTTAATCGCAGCTGGGATGAGTATCGAGTCGGTTTTGGCAGCTTGCAAGGGGACTTTTGGTTTGGCAACGAGTTTATACACCGTATAGTTTATCGCGACGATTATGTGCTGCGCATCGAACTGGAGGATCAGAATGGTTTGCCCGTGTGGGCCGAATACGCACTCTTTCGGCTGGACAGCGAAAGTTACAACTATCAATTGGTGATTGGTAAACTGAATGGCAATAGCACCACGTCCGATGCCCTTAGCTATCACAATCGCATGGATTTCAGGGCCTACGACCGCAATGAAAATTGTGCTGGCTGGTGGTTTGATCGTTGCCAGGAAGCTCAATCCAATTTAAATGGACAGCGTATTATCTGGGGCAACTGGCACAACGAATATTCGGTGAAAGCTTCTCGTATGTTGATACGGCCGCGAAACTTAAATTCGGTAGATATCCACGATATTTATGACGAGGACTCCACATATAATTTTTAGTTTTAAATATTGCGAGCGATAAATTAAAAAACAAAACATTTATATTTCTAGTACGTACTCGAATATTGCTACAAATAAACGTTACCGCCGAGTTGTTACTATTAGTATCGTTGCTGAACGCATCCAGAACAGCATAGTATTGATGATTTTCAGTAGATTTCGATATATGGTCACACTGCACTTGAAGATTGAGTTGGGCTTTAAGACATACTTAAACAATAAATATCAATAGCTTAACAGAAAACGTTATTTGCTAAAAGAAACATCTAAAAATGAAGAAAGGCCAACTAAGTGGCAATACTAAATTTGCCTCTGTATACAACATTTATTTCGCAACATCTGGTATATATAGCTTCTGAAATCTTTCTGTTATTTTAACTAAATGTATATCTATACATCAAATACAAGGCTTAAGTGCGCTTAAACTCATAGAAAAAATTTAAAATTTTAATAGTTAATTTTAGGCTGTTATCAAGTATAGTATTTTGTTGAATTTATACAGGGTTTTTGCTCTTGCAGCGTACGGTCACACAGTCACTTGTTCGTTTGCGTGTGAGTGTGACAGCAGTACGGCCGAGTGCAGCGCGACTTGCAGTAAAAGAGAGAAATTTAAAGTTGTTAATTGTAGAGCTTCCACTGCAGCAAAAGAATACATCAAACTAATTAAATTTAGTGTGCCAAACAAAAGAAAAAATGACTTGAAGGAATGGTTAAGTACAAACGACTAGTATTTGCGGCACAGGCAAACTAACAACCACAACAACAACAACAAGAGCCAGAACAAGACGCTGCCGCGGCCACTCCTTTTGTGCCCGTTGTCTCGCTCCAGAAAAATGTGTGTGTGCGTGCGTGCGTTCGTGAGTGTGTAGATGAAATTGAAAGAAAAAAAAATAAAAATAAATTTGTGCCCACTGCATTAAATTAAAAAGTTGTTGCATTAATTAAGGCAATAAAAAGTGAAAATTCTACAAAGCAGCGTACAAAAATGGCAAAGTGGGTTTTTTTTACTGTTGCTGTCTGCAAAAGCTCAAGCAAACTTAACTAGAGATAAGCGAGCGACGTACATTAAAACATAGACACGCACACAGATACACACATACACACATACATACATAAGCAGGCAGGCACACGAATATACAGAGCACGGCGTGTCCGTGTGTGTGTGTGTGCTTGTTTATGACTCACGGCTGGCCCTGTGAGTGAGTGTGTAAGTGCGAGTGAGAAGGCGCTAGAGCGCTACCTACGGCAACAAAACAACAAACACGCTTCAACAGAATTTCCCAAGCATTTATAAAATTTTCAACGTTGTGGAAAAACAAAGAACATAGAGATTAAGTGAGAAATAGAATAGAAACAACACAAACATGAGTTTCGCCAAATGGTTCAAGAAGAAGGAGCAAATCTCCGAGATTGGCGCCCCAACAAATTTTCAACGGCATTTTCATGTCTCACGCAATCAGGAGACGGGCGATCTGGAGGGTCTGCCCACGCCCTGGGTGCGCCTGATGAACACACAAATCACACGCGATGAGCAGGACAAAAATCCAGATGCGGCGTATCATGCGGTCAAATATTACAATTACTCCATTAAGAAAAAGGAGCAGGAGGTATTCAAGCCCTTCATTACGGAGGATGTCATACACGAGGAGTCCAAAGAGATTGATAACTATGTCAATTACAAGAACAAACACAAATCGCAGGATATTGATAAATCGGATGACGATGGCAGCGGCAGCTCAACAGCAACAGAGAGCAGCAGCAGCGGCTGCGGCAGTTCCGCGGCGAACAGCAACAGCAGCAGCCTCAATGATAGCAGCCAACAGTCTGTCATACCGCTAGATGCGCTAAACGATGTCATCAAGGAGCTGGAATCGACTTTGGGTCGTGAAACGCTCAAGCCGGTTAAGCCATGCGGCTTGGAGCCGCCGCCTGTGCCGCCCAAGAAATCGCCACATCAACTGCCGCCCAAGCCACAAATCAAACCGAAACCTTCGAGCGTTATCCAGCAAAAATTCTCACGTGATCTGCGTAGCCTAGATGGTGAACCACACAAGATTAATACAGATACAATTATCATTAAGCCCAACAATTTGGGCAGCGCCAGTCAGGAGGGCGGTATCGATGCCGATGCGCCCGAGGAGACCATATTGCGTCGCTCCAAAGAGAAACGGGCACAGAAAACGGATGCAGAGATTTATGATGAGCTGCGCGCCATTTGCAATCCGGAGGATCCGCGTGAACGTTACAAGACCAGCCAAGAAGTGGGCAAGGGTGCATCCGGCATTGTATTCATAGCCGGCGACAAGCAAACGGAAACCCAAGTGGCAGTCAAAACAATTGAAATGAAAAATCAATCCTCCAAGGATCTCATATTGACCGAAATACGTGTGCTCAAGGATTTCAATCATAAGAATCTGGTCAATTTTCTGGATGCATATCTGCTGGAGCCAGAGGATCAGCTCTGGGTGGTCATGGAGTACATGGATGGGGGTCCACTTACCGACGTCGTCACCGAAACAGTCATGAAGGAGCGCCAAATTGCCTGCGTTTGCCGTGAGGTCCTCTATGCGATTAGTTTTCTGCACGCCAAGGGCATCATACATCGGGACATCAAGTCTGATAACGTGCTGCTCGGCATGGATGGCTGTGTGAAGGTTACGGATTTTGGTTTTTGTGCCAATATCGAGGGCGACGAGAAGCGCCAGACCATGGTGGGCACACCGTACTGGATGGCGCCGGAAGTGGTCACACGCAAAAAGTATGGCAAAAAAGTGGACATCTGGTCGATTGGGATAATGGCGATCGAAATGATTGACGGACAGCCGCCCTATCTGTATGAGACGCCACTGCGTGCGCTCTATCTAATTGCCGCCAATGGACGACCTGATATTAAGAGCTGGGACAAGCTCAGTCCCAGCCTGCAGGATTTTCTCGATCGTTGTCTCCAGGTCGATGTGGATCGTCGTGCCACAGCCGATGAGCTCCTCAAGCATCCGTTTCTTGATGATTGCAGCGAGGTGAAGGCTTTGGTGCCCAATATTAAGGCTGCCAAGAAGGTTCTCAGACGCAATGTATAGTTAATGTGTCAACAACATCATCGAGCTGGCAAATTGCTCTATGCGTGATGTGACCAAACGAATCACCCTACCCTCTATATGCTGTCTAAGCCTTCCATTTCATAGACGGTCTTCTTATGTGTATAAATTCGAAATCTGGAACAAAATGCTGATTAGTCTTTCATGAAAACGTAGTCACAGAAACAACAACAACAAGAACAACAACAACATAAAACGTAACAAGTCACGGAACACATACATATACATATGTATGTCTGTCCCTCCGTCTGTCGTCTGTGCAACTGACGCACGCATTGCACATCGCTGGCCGATAACATCGTTAAGTGGTAAGTCCAAAAAATATATATATATACATATATACATATAAACAAAATTGAGCAATTGAATATAAAGTCTGCATGCACACATACATTTACATCTGTCAATCAATCAGATTGATTGAGGATCAGTGCACAGCACAAACTGTCAGGACTAGGAAGCTCTAGTTAGTTTGTATTATTTTGGCATTTTATTTTTATTTTCTGCGTCTAGAAACTCCCAGAAACTATATATTTATCATGTTCGAAGAATTTGTTTGTTCCTAATATCGTGGATGTGCATACGTCCGATCTCTGTCATATCTATACTAGGCCATCGCGAATCGACAAAACAGGTTTCCAATTTAATAGACCAATCCAATTTTTTGCAGCAGTGACAAAAAACTGTTTTAAGTGAAGGGGAGCTGTTGCGAAGAGGTTGTACGCAATTTAATGAATTGCCCTAATCAGTGGCTGTTGATATACCGGTGAGACAGATTAAACTCGATCAAGGTCTCGTTCAAGCCTAAGCAATACTTGTGTGTGCGTGTGTGCGTGTGTGTGTGTGTGTATGTTGCATATATGAGAAAACACATGCGTTGCGTTTATTTTTTTTTTTTTATCACAACAGTTGCGTTTGCATTTGAATAATCAGCTTTAAGTATGTCAGCTCTTTAGTTGTATGTAAATTATGCTTAGTCAATTGTGCCAGAGTTGACAAAGTACTTTAAAAACATAGTTGTGTGACGTAAAGTACTAGCGCAAATTCCTAGAATCAAATAACTTATCATATATCGAAAATCGGTTTGGCATTATTGTCTTTTTCAAGAGCATCAAAGCTTCGACTTGAGATTTTCTAGAAGGTAGCATTTATTCTCTTTGCTGAAGCACGCAGTCCCATTGAAAAGTAACACGTAAACACTGGCACACATACACACAGACAATAACAATTACGTGTGTATGTGCGCCAGCAGCTAACCAATACTATTAAATACGCTCGTTCGCATTTCCTGTTGGACAGCAAAGCAAAGACTTGAAATAACGCATTGTCTGCCAAAAAAAAAAAAACAAAATGTATAAAATAAAAACTCATACATTATCACAATAAAAAAAAAAGAACAACTTCCAATTCAACACACTGCGCACATACGCAGACAGCAACACCTACACACATGCTCCGCTTTTATAATAGCCTTATCAAACAGCACTTAGGCAGTTCACACACATACATACACGCACATGCATGCATATCTTAGCTATCTTAAAATCCCCCGTGCTTTTATCAAATTCCAAGAACCTTTGTTGGCATTATAAGTTGATTTTGATAAGCGTTAAAATAAAAAAAAAACTAGTGCGATCTTTGTCTAGCCAGAGTTGCTGTGCTGCTAAATGTCGCAGTAGTCGTTGTAATGTTTTCGCTATTGTCTTTCTTATATCTTTCTGTTTGTCTGGCTGCATTTTTTCACCACCATCCACTTATTGAATTTAATTGCTTGTGCAGTGGCGGTGGCGACCGCTGGACGTCGCGCAGCGCTATTTTTACGCTCTCACTGTTACTGTGCGTCGCTCTAGCTTACTCGCTCCCACTTCCACTCGATCGCCCTTTTTCACTCCCACACACACACACACACACAGAGAGAGACATACACACAGTGCGTGCACTTTTCTACCGGATCTTTGGCTGTTTATTTGTTTATATTAGCGGTAAATACTTTTGCTTTCCGTTTCGCTTGCTACTCCCAATCGAGGCAGCAGCTGTTGGTACTCACCATAATTGTCTTTGTGTGTGACGCAAAGTTTTAACTTTGTTGATGTTGGTTTTTATGCGGCTGCTGGCTTTTGTGTGCCAAATGTCTTATTGATGACAATAATGTTAACAAACAACAGTAGCAGAGTAGCAACAGCAGCAGCGACGGCAGCAGCACAATGAATAATCATTCGCAAATATTTAATGCAGGAAATCAATATGGGCTTTTAAATTACATGTGCCATGCACATGAACACACGCATACATTCACACAAATGTATGCACATGTGTATGTCCCTGTGTGCATTTCCAGTTTTGTTGGCTGCGCGTCTGCTGCAGTTGCATGCTGCCTTTTTGCCGGCTGCTGCTGCTGCCGCTGGGAGTGGCGCTGCTGGGGCCAAAGTACAATTTCCAGTCCACGCGTATGCGTAAAGCCTTGTGAAAGGCCCTTTACATACATACATGTAATGGACATGTACAACACATGTATGTGTGTGTGTGAACTTATACCTATCGCTTAACACTTTTGTTTCTTTCTGAGAGCGACATTGAACAGCAGCCATTCATATGTATGTAGATACATAAGTAAGTGTGTGTGTGTGTGTGTGAGAGTGTGCCTGTGTCTGTGCTTTTGTATATTGCACGTAGTTTTAGTAGCAGTTTTTGTCTTTGCCTAAGCAAACTTCCAAATATACAAAAACTATAAAATGACTAAACCCAATTCCATTGTGCGTTCAATTTGCGTAAGTTGTGCGCCCCCTGCCCACTCTTATAATTTCACCTTGCGCACAAAAGGTTTTGCGTTATACGTTTTGGTTTTTGCAGTTTCTGTTTTGGCTTTGTTTCGTTTATTGAACCATATGAGTCTCCTGCCTTTTGGTGTAGTTGTTCTTGTTTTTGTGTTTGTTGTTGATACGCGGAATTGTATATGATTCATTCGCTGTGTATTTCGTTGAGGAGGAACTTCGTGTTGTGAGCTCGTTTTTCATAACAAAACATGGCAACCGACCTCTACCCATCCGCCGCCGCATTCGTGCGACATTTTGCATACGTACATGTGTGTGTATGTACATGCATGTACACATATGTATGTATGTATCATGCAATGCCCAGCAATATAATAATTATAATTTCTTGCTGCATTTTCAGTTACATTACGTATGAGATTACACAGTGCTCGTTGCTTGAAAATTTCATCAATTGCATTGTTTTACTGTGTGTTACATATACAACATGTTCCACATGCACTCCACATGACACAGCAACAACAACAGTCGCTGAGCTTTCATAGCGGTTTTCAAAGTTTGCAATGATATTTTCGCTGCGACTCTTAAAACTGGAGCATGAAGCGCTGTTTTGAAGCCATAAATCAGCTGGCGCTGGCTTTGATTCTCGTTTGCATGAAAAAGTACAGATAATTGCCGGCATAACTGTATTCATACCCTGTTTCTTGAAGTGTATTCAAATAGGCTACACTTAATTCGACCGAATTTCAAATACTATTACACACACATACATATATGTTTGTATGTATATAGTTGGGTATATAATAAAGAGACGCGAAAATTATGGCGTTCCCATGTGAAAGGAAATGTATCGATACTTCCTAAAAAAAAAAAAAAAAAATGAGAATATTGAAAGTTAAATGCACATTGTTCAATCCAAAACCGAGCATTTTTCGTCAATGGAAAATTGTGAAGAAAATTTAGCTGTGAAAATACGAGACGAGCGCATCTGTCTTATCTGGACAACTGCTATAAATATAACAAAAACACAATGGGAGTCGAGTGGCACGGATACAAATGTTGTCGCTGGGTTTTCATTGAAATTTAAGCGTGACTTTAGCGCGGGCGCTTCACATGCCGATAAATGCACACACATGTATGTACATACATACATGCAAACATATATATGTGCATATGTGACACACACACACACAGCCGCACAATTATTGCGCTGATAATTGGCTGCATACGCCAGTGACGCGTTCCCAGCGCTTTAATAATAATAAAAACAATAACAAGGCAACATTTTTGTGTTTTGTATGCGATACACACGCTAATACAACAAACCTGTTGCGCCTTGCGACCCACTGAATATAATAATAATAATAATAACAATCCACAAAAAGGAAGAAATTGTTGTAATTATGCAAAATTAAACAGATAAGCGCAACGCTTGCATAAACAGTATCGTGTATACCCAGCGACCAATTGGAGTGCAGAAAAGCTCTGCTTGTTCTTACACAGCATTGCCCTTCGCCGTGTCTGTATCTATTTATAGTTCCAGTTCATTTCATATGTGTTTTGTTGTTGTTTTTTTGGGCATTGCCAGCCTAATCAGCTCTGAGTATCCTAATCACCTTGATAAACAGAACGAAATGTGATAAGACAAGCGAAGTGATTATTTGCCATGTTCGAATTTGCTTAGTTTTTTTTTTAAATTTTTTTTAATAAAATTTGTAGTACACATGTCGATTGCTTTGTTGCGTGTGTGCGCAGCTAGGGCTCATGGACATTATGCAATGTTTATCGCAATTAATAAAGGTCAAAATGTTAATTGGAATAGAGTTCAAGTGTACACATGTATAAAAAGACTATGCCACTTTTTTTATTATTATTTAAGTCGATGGATTCTGTTTGTGCAGACATCATTGCAAATATTTACACCCTGATTGGAGTGGAGCAAACTGCACAAGAGCTTTTCGGCAACACCTGAAATAGTTAGTGGAAATTTCTAGCAGCCAGAAGAAGGCATCAACAAACCCATATACCCTATCACACCCCATACCCTCATATTGCCCATGGCATACCTTTCTCTGATCTCCTTTTCATCCTATATCTTATTGATACAGCCAAAAGATATTTAAATGTTGTGGTGCAACTTAGTAGGAGACATCTCCGATCCTATAAGGCATATATTCTTGATCAATTTGATCAAATAATGGCAAAATATTATTTTCATCGGATCAGTCTATTATATAGCTGACATGGGAACGAATGGTCGAAAATTAAGTTCTTATCTGACAATATCTTTTGTTTATCAATATCCGACTATTATATTATGTAGCTTAGGAAGAATCTGTGCGAGAGAAAGAGAGAGAGAGAGAGAGAGAGAATTCAGCATTTACTAGCATTATTCCGATGTTTAATATTCGGCGAAGATATCCAATTCGTATTGTTTCATACTCCATTACCAGTTCGAGTTTATTTATTAATATGGATTGTCAGTCTCAGGGCTTAGACATAATTTACAGACTCGAGATGATAATCTCTTTTTCACGCGTTATATGCTTAAATAATGTATGCGATTAGAATAATATTGCTTGCTGGGGAAAAATATACAGTGAAAACTCTCCCAACCGACACTTCTTTTTATCAAACAACCTCTTGGGCGTTTAGTTACCTTCAAGTCGTGAATACCCGAAAATAGATTTCCCAGACACTCTTGAGCGGAAAATAATTTACTATATGACTAGGCAAAATACTATAATATGGGATTTAAAATGCTGAAGCCTGAGTCATATTTAAAATACTAAAAGTAACTTATTATTTAAATACATAGGTCTGAGTCACAGGCAAATTGGCAATCGATAAACATTTGTGCAACACCAATAACAATATGCGCATCTCTAATTGCAGGACAAGGCCAATGTTCGTCGCTAATGAGAACAACAACCGTTACAACAACCGCTACAACAACAACAACAATTCGAACGAAAAACAGAAGGTGCAAAGAAGTGACGTCACAGCAGCCGCAGATGAGAAATCAGCTTACGAAGTTTGTTTTTGGTATAAGATTAGACGGTTTACAGTTGTTCGACTGTTTTGCTTACAATATTTTACTTTGCCTGAGACATACATACGATATTCATGCGTACATCTAGAGAACATTTCTAAATATATTTGTGTAAGTACATACATACATACATACATACATACATATATATGACTGGCTGAGTGTGCCCCTGTGTATGCCCCGTCGGCGGGTATATGCAATACAATTACGTTAACGAAAGCATACGATAGTTTAATTATATTTCGCACACAGCTGATATAAAAAACTATTGAAATATAATATATGTACATTAAGTGGACATTAGATGCATAAATGTTAAAATAGTGTATACATATACATAAATGTGATTTAAGCGATTTTATCAAAGCTGCATTATGCAATTCTACATAAAATTCGTCGTAGTCTCTAAGTGCAACAACTAATAACAAATGAAACATGCAATACTTGTTTGTAAATTACCAAAAAAAAAACAGAAAACAAAAAACAAAAAACAAATGATAAATCGTTAAAATGTAACAAGTGGAAACGAGTGGAACAAGTGCCATTAGGACTAGCTAGCAGCAGTGAGTGACACAAACAACACCACCAACAAAAACAACAACAACAACACAAGTAAAGCCAACAACAAGGATAACCAAAACTTCCTAGCTACATATACTTATAAACAATTCTTAGCAAATTGGCAGCATTATCTACAAAAACAATGTACTAGAGAGAGTGAGCGGGAGAGAGAGAGAAGATATAAAAGAAGATATTCCCAAGAAAATTCAAATGTTGAGATGGTTCTATATTCCATTTAAATTAGTACAAACGTAAGAAAAATAAGCTTATCCGAACTAAACGCAAAAGAAACAGAACCTTATCCCAGACAGTTATCAAAATTCAAGAATTGCAACCCTCCCCCTTCCCCAAAAATGATTGCCATAAACGTAGCGCACAAATGAAATGCTACTGAAGTATAGAAATGCGCTATGCTGTTATCTAACGGTAATGTGTGTGTCAAAAATGATGATAATTCAATATAGGGAAAATACATATGCATATATTGTACACAAAAGTATGTAGGACGCGGCACCATAAACCTAGAGTAGTTCCCATTGGAAATTTTTCGCGCGTATGCCAAATACAAATAGCAGAGAGAGAGAGAGCGAGAGAGAGAGAGATAGGAACAGGTAGAGTGGAAGTTAAGAGTGAAAGGAAAACGTTTAATTCCACAATATTTTACGTATACCTTAGCCGAAATAATCAACGAGTTTACGTTTTGGCCTTTTCGCTTTAGTTGAAATATTTGAATGCTCTTTCCAAATTTGAAAATCAACTGCCGCTGACTTTTGCAATTGGAATTAAATGATGTACAACACTGGTTTTGATTGGAAAGAGTATGGACATCTTCGGTGCGCCGATGCTTAGCTTTCTTTACTTGTTATATACATTGTATAATAAAGAAAAAAACAATTTTATGCATTAGCTTAGTAGTGAGCGGCCATTTTTTATATATTTCCACAAACACAATGGCCGGCCACATATTTCCATACTGCTGCTGCTGTATAACGGTCATAGTTGAATTCATTGCAAAGTGCACCCTGTGATTGTAACGATAAATGTGACAAGTGGAAACGTTTGCATTTTGACAATACTTTCTTTTTTAAGCATAAATTTACATTTGGTATTTCTTTTGAGTATTGCAATTACAGGGTGTGCACAATTTGAAGGGAAAGAAATAATATGCAGAGTATGAGTACGTCATGTATTTGTGCATCGTTTAGAGCTTAAATAAAATATTCATTTTGATTAGATCGCTTAACGACAGCGTATTATTAGGCAAGGCAACGAACGCAAAGTATTTTGAAAGATGAAGAAATGATGAAAAAATCTAGAAAAGTATTCTGAGCCAGTTGGCACTTAACGCAGACATACCCAAATGAAACATAATCGAAAGCGCATTTAAACAAATAACGAAAAAATAAAAATAAAGGCAATGATTACAATTAAACGAAACGAAATGAAACGAAGCGAAGCGAAACTTAAGTCTTTAAAAAGTAGCATCAATTTTTTATACGGAATTTTTATTGCAATTGTAAAAAAAAAAAAAAAAAAAAAACAAACAAACATTATTGAACTATAAGAAAACTGTATGTCATCCAGGAAAATTTTTGATAAAATCCTTAATCCGTTATATTAGTAACTTATAAAAGCAAGCAGATATACATATACAACATTTACATAATATACATACAAACAATTGGCGCTATTTCAATTTAAATGTAGTTAAAATACACATTATGCATATTACCTAAGCTGATTGATATACATAATAATATTAAATAAGTACATACAAATACTTAACGCAGAACTTTACAAATATTGTGTATTTCATCAAAAGGTTTTATTCTTATTGTTTTTTTTTTTATTATTTTATTTTTGATTTTAGTTGGATGATATTGCACATAATTCCATGCAAGCTGTTTTGAATGCATTTCTTTTGCAATTGCTTACCTAAGTCGTAATCGTATATTAAACATTTTATTGAAATACATAATTATAATTATATTTTGCAATTTATATATATATATATATATTATTATTATTTTTAACAATTACGAGCTGATAGTATGCATATATTTAGTTTTAATCTATACACACCCATACACACACCGTCGTTTGAGCGTACGGTTATTTACAATTTTATACGCACAACTTGTATGTATTATTTTAGTTTGCACTGTAATTTTTATTTTGTGTTGTTAAATATATCGTTATTTACTTATTCGACCAAAGCATTTTGATCTCTAATTGCTTCTAACTGGCGCTTTCATTCAGAGAATGTCCTGTACGTCCATTTTAGGTAAGTGAAGCGATTTTGGCTGGAGGCATAAACTTGTATGCACTTTTACAGATCTGCACACTAGGTAACTGCTGATTCCCACTCAACTATTTCCTTTTGGTAATGCTATCCAAATCAATCCAATTCCATTCGTTTGTAAGCACCATATTTATTTCGAAGCAAGTTAAACGTGTCTTTGAATTTACCATTTTGATTAAAACGCATGTTAAAAACAATGGAAAATATATCTTACTTATATTATAGCCAGATATCCTCGCGATACTTGCCCTTTGCCCGCATCTCCTTGAGCCACTGTGTGGCCTCCATCTCGTCTAGTTTTAAGCCAAGCTGCAGGCAGCGTCGCAGACCGTCTTCGATACACTTGGTAATCTTGGCACCGTCGGCGCACACATATAAAACAGTTGTGGGCTGCTGCATCAGTTCCACAAGTTGCTGGGCATCCTGTTCCAGCAATTGCTGCACATATTTCGGCTGCTCTCCTGTGGAGTGTCGGGAATAGCACAGCCGTAGACTCTGTAGGATTGAGGCCTTCTGCCAGGCAAGCAGTTGCTGCTGCTTTACCATGGCCTGGGGCATCTTGGCACCTACATACAGCCATGTTTGACCTGTCGCTAGCTCCTTATGCAGCTGCTTGTGCGCCAGAAAGCCTAGAAAAGGAGCCAAGCCTGTGCCCACAGCTATGAGTATTTGATTGCCACTGAACTCCTGGTCCGTGTAACGAAATGCATTCGGTTCGCGTGGATAAATGTATAGTTGGACTGATTGCTGCTTCTCCCGATGCAATTCCCGCTTGGCCTCCAGCATGCTGGTCGTGACGCCCGCCTTATTCGCGCGTATAGAATAAATGATGCGCAGCTGCTGCGAGCATTCCAATGGACTGTTGGCTATGGAATACGGGCGTGGTAGCAGGCGTGGCAAATGCTCGACCAGTAAGGCCAGCGTTGGCTGGCAGGTGGTGCATAGCTCCAGCAGATCCAACAAGCATAAGCCACGCTCCAAAATGAGTGTCTGATAGTGTGCCGCGCCCTGCTTCGAGGATAGACTAGCCAGAAAAGAGCGCTCTTTCGAATCGCTGGTGCAGCTCGCTAAAGCGCTAAGGAACTGTTTTTGTGGAACTGCGTGCAGCGATAGACAATGTGTTAGTAACTCGCGTGGCGTCGCTGTTGCCGGTATGTGGCCGGGAACTTTGGCACTCTTCTTGGCGCAGTTCAAGGCGAGGCTTAAATGGCACACGCTATCCGCCTGCTCGCTCAAATTCAGGCGCTGCAATAGCTGCGCCACTATCTGTGGTGCGTTGCTAGGTAATATAGCCACTGTGTCGCCGGGCGCATAGTCCCATTGACCAAGGGCTGCGGTGTCCAGCGTAAGCTCCACAACACGCTTCGTCTCCGTAGCTGCATCAGCGGCCACAAGCACTTGGGCATCTTTTATGGTAACTGCTGTAGGCTTATAAGCACCACGTGCAAAGGGAAATTTCAAGGTATTCCCGCAATTCAGCTGAGCACATGGCTCAAATCGTGCTCTAAGTGAACCCTGCAACATTATTGTTTAAATAAACTCTTGCGAAAGTTGTGTGCACTGACCTGCTCTGCGGAGCCAAAGACCACTTCGAGATTGCTTTCCAATGGTTTAGCTGGCACATATTCCGTCAACGTATGTGCGTCAATGTCCACAACAAGTGGCGCATTTATATGCTCAACGCCGACCATTCCGATGTTTACAAATGATCTAGTGTGACCGTACTTGGATTGGTTAAATATGACAAACAGCAATTAGCGCAACTATTTGGTCAAGGCAAGTGATTTCATATATTAAAAATAAGTATTTTATTGCAAATTGGAAATAAATTGAATATTATGAATGTCAGTTCAGACTATTACGGTTTCTTGACAAAACACCAAACAAATTTTCTGTTATAGACTGAAAATCGTTGTAAATAACTGTCATCTCTAGTTAAGTGCTGCTGTACTATTATGGCATAAATAATGCAACAGTCAGCGCTGTTTGCCAGTGTGTACACACTGTGAATATTAAAACTAAAACTGCAACGCACAATAACAAGAATATTTTGCGATCGAAATTTCGAGTACAAATTGAAGTTAACTACTAGCTAACAACATGGCAGAAAAGAATGTCACCGATGAAGAATTCCAGGATGCGCTCAGCGAGCCAGTGCCGTCCATACAAAAAGTTACAACAAATTCTCCGAAACAAGACAAATTGATTGACGAAATTATAGAAAAGAACAGCAAACTACGTCTGGAGGATGATGAAGCTGGCGCCGTGGGTGGCAAAGAAGAGGGCAACAAGGACAACAACGATGACGATGAAAATAATAGTGATAGATTGGAATTGATTCATCACGATGAAGAACTTAGCCTGGAGGAGCTACAGCTGCGAGAGAAAGACCTCAGCGCCGAGGAGCTGGCACTAAACAAAGAAAAGGCCGACAAACTGAAACTGGAAGGCAATGAACTCTTCAAAAACGGTCAGGCCGAACGTGCCATTGAGCTCTACACTGATGCCCTGAATATTTGCCCCTCCACGAATAGTAAGGAGCGCGCTGTGCTGTTTGGTAATCGCGCAGCGGCCAAAATGAAGCTGGAAGCCAATAAATCGGCCATTTATGACTGTACGAAGGCAATCGAACTCTATCCGGAGTATGTGCGTGCGTTGTTGCGGTAAGTATTTAATTTAACAAGAAGAATACAAATATTTAAACAAAATGTCCACAGACGTGCAAAGCTGTACGAGCAGGAGGACAGACCGGATGAGGCGCTCACAGATTACAAGCGTGTCTATGAAATTGATCCAGGTCAGCGTGAGGCACGAGAGGCCCAAGTACGTCTGCCTGCCTATATAAATGAGCGCAATGAGAAGCTCAAGACCGAAATGATGTCCAGCTTAAAGGGTTTGGGCGATATGATATTAAAGCCATTTGGCTTGTCCACCGCAAATTTTCAAATGAAACAGGATCCTAATTCAGGATCGTATTCCATTAATTTTAATCAGAATAATAGTTAGTATGAAAAGCTGTGTCATGTTTGTTAAATTCTCAGAATAAAGTTGCAGATAAAATGTGTAGGAATTTTTTGCTCTTCAGCTGTTTGGGTCAGTGTGTACACATATGTTGTGGACTGCAACAGTGTGACCACGCGTTTGAGCAACAGCTGACATTGACACCTGCTGTCGTCTTACAGAAAACGCAAGAAGAAGAATCGTTTGTTGAAAATTAAAATCTTATTTTTTTGCTGATATTTACAAAATTAGTTTCGTTTATGTGACGTGCCGCTTGACAAGCTTACATTATATTGTGGGCTCTCAGTGAGTTCTAGTGCTGGAATTTCCAGCTTCATCGAGTGCTAATGAACTATTTTGTGAGGTCTTTTGTGTTCTGACTAAAATGGTTATAGACTAATTCTATTATTAGCATTGAGTGTACCCAGTCGCAATTGAGACAGTGTTTTCAATACTCGCATAATGTTTCGAAGTCGTAGCTGGTTTGGCGGCCCTTGGGGTGGACGCCCCAAGAATCGACTGTCATTGGAGCACCTAAAGTACCTGTACAGTATTCTGGAAAAAAACACAACGGTATCGGAGAGCAACCGCGGTCTGCTGGTTGAATCATTGCGCTGCATTGCCGAGATTCTTATCTGGGGCGATCAACATGACTCCCTTGTGTTCGAGTAAGTGTTGCAGCTTACAGTGTAATATAATTAAGAAGCATACCGATTTCTGTTACTACAGCTTCTTTCTGGAGAAGAACATGCTCTCATACTTTTTGCACATTATGCGCCAGAAGAGCGGCGGGTCCAGCTATGTTTGCGTACAGTTACTCCAGACACTTAATATTCTCTTCGAGAACATCCGAAATGAGACATCCTTGTGTATGTAAACAATTATTTATAAGAACTACAAAGTATATTGCCATCAGTATTAAAAGTATTTTACAATATATCTCTATAATATCCCTAAACCTAAATTTCTGTTGTGAGCAAAGAATATACCGTTATTTGCATGCGTTAACAGTCCTACTAAACATCATTTGTATAACAGTTCCCTTCTATTATAGCTTTTTGCCGTTCTAATTAGAGCCGTTATATTCCAATTAACGCACGCATGAAACTCTTAAATTCTTAGCTTAGATATTTTTTATATGCTGTTTGAAAAAACTGACAGTTTAAATTTATAAGATTTGCTGCTAAGGATTTGCAATTATTAATTTTTCAGATTATTTACTAAGTAATAACCATGTGAACTCTATAATGTTGCACAAATTTGACTTTTCCGATGAGGATGTCATGGGATATTACATACTCTTTCTGAAAACGCTGAGCCTCAAGCTAAACACACACACAATACATTTTTTCTACAATGAGGTGGGTCCTACTGTATATTTAATGTTTAAAGCTCTTAATTTGCTGTGTTTTTCATTATCAGCACACAAATGACTTTCCACTATACACGGAGGCTATTAAATTCTTTAATCATCCCGAGTCCATGGTGCGCATTGCAGTGCGCACAATTTCCCTGAATGTGTACAAGGTGCAGAATGCGAGCATGTTGCGTTTTATTAGAGACAAGTAAGCGAATAAACCTGGAGAAAGACAATCTATTTAATATTTTCATCTCTATCAGAACGGCGGCGCCCTACTTCAGCAACCTGGTTTGGTTTATTGGCAAGCACATATTGGAGCTGGACACCTGCGTGCGCACAGATATAGAGTGAGGGAGCAATAAATTCTTATACCGTTCTTAATTAAGATTTCTCCCGTTCTTCCGCCAGTCATCAATCGAAACAGAAGCTTTCCAATTTGGTCGCCGAACATCTTGATCATTTACACTATTTGAGTGACATCCTGCTGCTGGATATTACGGATCTGAATGCCGTGCTCACAGAACACTTGCTGCACAAGCTGTTTGTACCCTTGTATATATTCTCGTTGACGCCAGCGCCGCCGCCGCCCTCTTTGGCATTGGTCACGCAGAATTTGGCGGCTGTGCTGAATCGCAATGTGGACATAGACATACAGGAAATGCATAATCCGCGTGTTAGCTCAATTGTGGCGCTATATTTGCTATCGCTCGTGTTTCTGGTTGTCAATCATGCGCCGCTTGTGCATGCCCTCGCCTGGGTCATTCTAAATGGTGATCATAGCGTATTCAAAGAAGGCGCTGCCGAAATACTCAACTCCTATACGGAACATCGCGAAGTGGTGGTGCCTGGTTTTGGTGAGCCACACGAGAGTCTCGAACAGGCATTGGACACGGTTATAGGCCATACGGCTAACTACAGCGGCGATGCAGCTAGCGAGGACAGCGGCGTGGAGTCAACAGCTGCGACGACCACAACGCCCACAAGCAGGCACATAGAAACTGTTGCTGAGGCTGCAGCCACTAGGTTGCGCAACATAACCGACGAGGAGAAACAGATGCTGCAGCAGTCCACATCGACGCAGGCTTTCACTGAGCTAGCCAAGCCTTTTCTGGACACCGTGTTACAAGCACTTGATTGCACAGAGAATGATTATCTGGCGCTATTATCACTCTGCCTCATATACGCCATGTCCCACAATCGAGGTAAGTTTGACTGTGACCAAGTATCTAGAGATTCAGCTACACATCAGCTGCTCCGGTTCTCATCTAACTTTGCCTCTCTCATCTCTCTCTGCTCTTTGCAATGCTCATTTCACTGCTTTTTGTGTATGGTGTGAAAAAAAATGATTCACAATAATGTATACACAATATGGTACCCTGTACCAGATGGTATGTAACTTGTTCATTCCCCCATACTAATGTGTCCCAAGGAGCTGCACCACAACTTGCTTATAAGTAACTCTTTTCGTTTCTGTTCACAGGCATGAAGAACGAATGGTTCGAGCAGGTGCTCTCCAAGTCCATGCGGGGCTCTTTTAGCTATAAGACTGCGCTAATTGAGCATCTGCTTAACATCATCACGCATTCCAGCCTACCATGTAAGTAAAGCACTAGACTGCGTCCCTCGCACCTTCCGGAAAGCCTTTCGGGTATTTTTTCGTTTTTAGTTTTCAATTGGGTTGAATTAAGTCTAATATTTTTTAAGTTATGGAGTGTCCGATTAGCTTCGCTTAGATGCTTACTCAGGATTAGTTTGTAAAGTTTTCCAGCTTAGATCTTTATTCGCATTCCTACTGTATCAAGGCTATCCGAAAGAACATAATCACACAATCTTCATTCACATTACATACGTGAACGTTTTATTATCTATCTTCATGTGCAGCCAGTCGCATACGTTTGATCACAGTTGAGATTGCGTTGGAGCTGCTGCTGACCTTCACCAAGCCGGTTGCGGATGAGGCGCCATGCATAACGGCCACGCAGCAGGGTTTGCTCTTCAGTGCCCGCAATCAGTCGATGGTTGTGCTGCGCAACTTTTACAAATCGGAGGACATATTCCTAGATCTGTTCGAGGATGAGTACAATGAGATGTGTAAGGCACAGCTGAATGTGGAGTTTCTCTGTATGGACTCGAACATTCTGCTGCCGCCAACGGGCACGCCTTTAACAGGCATTGGCTTTACCCGGCGCCTGCCGTGCGGTGAGGTGGAGAAGGCCCGACGCGCTATTCGCGTGTACTTCCTGTTGCGTCGCACGTGTCAAAAATTCTTGAATGAGAAGGAATCGCTTCTGCCGCTGACGAACGTAGTAAATCTGGTGCAGGTGGAGAATGTGCTCGATCTGAGTAAGTTTTGATGAGAACGTTTGCTAGCAAATTATTATAAATGTACTCCTGGTAGACAACAGTGACCTAATTGCCTGCACTGTTGTGTCAAAGGAAAATGCTAAACAGCGCCGTTTCCTGGTCATTGATGCACTGCAACTCATACTCGTGGAGCCCGATGCCAAGCTGTTGGGCTGGGGCGTGGCCAAATTTGTGGGCTTCCTGCAAGATGTGGAGGTGCAGGGTGACAAGGACGATTCACGCTGCCTGCACATCACAGTGCATCGTGGCGGCGTTACCCATAATCGCACGCCTCAGCTCTCTGCCAAATTTTTGTTCGACGATCATATACGGTGCATGGCGGCCAAACAGCGCCTGACCAAGGGTCGCAGCAAGGCGCGTCAGAAGAAAATGTATCAAATAGCACAGCTCATTGAAATTCCCGGCCAGCTGGAGTCGCCGCTGTTTCCAGTGTGTGGCACCTCAACAAGTTGTGGCAATACGCGCCTGGCGCAAAAGGGTGCAAATTTGACAGCGAGTCGAGTGCCCGGCTTTGCGGCTGTGCTGCGTGGTAACAACAGCGCGGGCATAAGTCGCACGCAGATGGCGCAGAATCGCTCCATAGAAGGGTAAATCCCATATGAATATATTTATATATTAATATATGTATATCAACAATTTAAGCATACGGAATGAAAGCGGTAGCCGCTCACGACGACGAAGTCCCAATGCCGGCTCCAGTTCATCATTGTCGCAGCGCCTGGGAAACGCAGCTCTGGATCGTGATCGTTCACCTAGTGTCAGTGGCGGCAGCCACAGCTCCTCCCAGTCCAGAGAAAACTCACAGGCGCGCGGCTCCGGTAATCGCTCCCGTGAGAGCAGTCCGCGCATGCCAAGACCACGGTGCGTTTAATTCAAGAGAATTTATTCGGATAACTTACATCTTTGCCTTGCAGTTCAGAGGAAATCCCTTTAGAGGATTTTCAACATTCACGCAATAATAGTCCACACTCGCGCAGCGCTGTGGCCAATGCATCTCCATCCTCTCGTTCGCATACGCCCTCTCGCGTGCTGCACATCGACCAAGTATCGGTGCACAGCGGTTCGCCACGGGAACCGTCGTCTCTGGGCACGAATGCTTTATTAAGCCAACTGAATGGTGGCGTAACCATTGCCAGAGAAGTGCTGCCGGCACAAAGCTCCGAGGAAACATCCTTTATAGGCAATGATGTTGATGTTGAGAACAGACGGAAGGGCCGAAGCAACATTGAAACGGTTTGAAAACAATTTTAGTGTTGTGACAACATTGTAATCTACTGTGCATAATAGAGAGGTAAATTGTCGCTGCAATTTTCAATTCCATTAACTGTTACTTTTAGCTTTCATTTAGAAATAAACTTTGATTTGACGAATTCGAAATGTTAGGCTGAAGTGAATAAGTCAACTAAAATACAGGGTGTCTGCTGATTTTTTCATTTTACTCACTCAAAACAAAACATTTTTATTAACATTTGTGATCTATTAAAAAAAATGAATTGTCTTTGACTTATTCGCATTTGTTGCTTTTGTTTTGTAAACTTTCAATTTGCAAAAAGCTACATAGAAAAATAAAGGTTAATGCAAAAGGAATGTGGCGTTTGCTCTAAAATCCTTGCATAAAATTACACCCTCTTAAAAGGGTATTTCCTTTGGCATATTAATGGATGAAAAATCTTTAAACATTGATAAGTAACAGTCAGTATTAAAAAAAAAAAGGGTTCACAATTAATATTGATGAACGTCCCATAGCCCTTCGCATGGCGTTCGTATTTGTAAACACCTCATGCGGAATTGCCTTTAGTGTTTGTTAGTGTTAATAGTTGCACGAGTGCATATCGATATCGATAGCTGTAAGCTACCATCACTAAGCAGCTGTTTCTTGTTTGTGTGGCGGCTGAGTGACATAACCCTCATTTGCTTTAATAATATTATAAGTAAACTTAAGCTGAATTAAAAATGTCCTACAAATACAGCGAGCTTATTAAGCTCGGGACACAGTACGCGCGGCGCATGAATTATCTGTCGAATCGCATATTTGGCGAAGTGGCGCGCACTACAAACGACAAATCTATGAAGGTTTCATACGGCTTTTAAATTTAGTTATTTATGAAATATATATTAATGGACATTTCTGTGCAGGTTGTTCGTATGTTCTCAGAGGAGCCCATTCAGAAACGCGACTATGTTGTCAACTGGTATCCGCGACATGTGGAAACCCATTTGCTTATGAAAAATCTGCGCGATTATGGCCTATTTCGTGATGAGCATCAGGACTTTAAGGAGGAAATGAAACGCTTACGCAAGCTGCGTGGAAAAGCGCCGCCCAAGAAGGGCGAGGGCAAACGTGCAACAAAGAAATAGATCATTTACAACATACACAAAAAGTAAATGTACATTTATTTATTTGCACCAACTAAGGGTCAGCTTTGCGTGTCAGCAATTTGGCATGGCCAGCAAAGACCACATCGTCGTGCTGCCTGCACTCGTACTCCACGGTGGCTATTTTACGCGCTTGCAGCAGACGCACAGTCACCAGGGTGTCTGTTTCTATGCGACATGGTTTCAAGAACTTGAAGGTTTGTTCCAGCACCACAGTGCCTGGTCCTGGCAATTGTGTGCCTATGATGCCGGCCACAACTGCATTAAGCAGGGCACCATGTACACGCCGTTCTTCAACGGGCATGTCTTTGCTGTGTATAAAGTTATAGTCTCCAGTAAACTGTGCGAATGTCTCAAGATCCTGCTGAGTGAAGCGCTTTACCACCTGAACCTGTCGCAGTTTGGATTGCGCCTGACTGCACAGCTGACGGCGTAACTGTTGGAACATTGTTTAGTTCGGTTATTTCGGTGCGGCTGCCAAAATCTTCCAGAAAAACTACACAAAGCTTGACAACACGTTCGTCGTTGGATGCCTGGCGCCAGTACTGCACGCGCTTCAGCAATGCTGGCGTTATGAGCTGATCCTTGGTACCCAATCCCGCGCTCAGCAGTTGATAGTATAGTGTTAGGCAGTGCAGCACAATATCAGCGTGCTCTGTGCGCAGAAACAAGCCTCTAATTAAAGCTATACTTTCAATTATAAATTTGGCGGCGCCTCTGTCTGTAAGTTGAAAGAAATTATTGAATATCTTACATATTGACTGTTGAGAAACGTTACCCAAGCAAAAATTACACAACGCCGCTACCGCATGCAACTGTAGATTGGGATTCTGCGTATCCAAAGCTGCCACAAATACATCCAACGCTTCGGCTTCATGCAAATGGGGCCAGTTAATCGGATCGTAGGCAAAGTTCGCCAAGTTAGCGGTCACCTGCTCCTGGGCCTCTGTTAGGGATTTATCGATACTGTTAACAGTGATGCCGACGCCAGCGAGTTAAGTGCTTACCGACGTTTGTTGAGGTGTAATATTCGTTCACAAGGTGGCCAATATATTCGCGTCGATCTATGCCCTCCGCTGGAGTCTTGCGTTTTAAACGACGATGGCTAGAAAACATCTAGAATGACAACTATGCAACTACGCAATGCAACAGGTAAGTTTAAAATACAAAACTGAGTTGCCATTCGCTTGTAAACGTAGCCATTCAAATCGAGTATTTAATATAACAGCTGCTTTACATTTAACAGCGAAGAGTATATATTCAGGGTATTTTAGTTTTTAGCTGTTATTTTATTAGCTTTAAATAATTAAAACACATTAAGCTATTGATTTTCATTTAGACAAATTTAGATAGTAGCGTGTAGAAATTTATAATATTTTTGTTTGCCAACTAAGTTTCAACGTTTATGTATGTACATCATTCGGTTCTGCAAATATTCTCTAATTCTCCGTTCGCCAGGTACTGTCGTTGCCATCCTTATTGGAATTGTTTGAAAAATAGCTTAGAGCTGCTGCGACTGATTTCGGTGGTATGTTAAACAGTGGATGGGTGGGTAGTAGTTCGTTAATAATGTCGCCCAGCACTTGTGGATGCATAGCGGATTCCGAGTGCTGTGCAATTGAAACGCCGCTGAGCGTGTAGCAGGTGTGATATAGATCTTGTGGCCTTTAGGTAAAAGAGAAAGGGTTAAGCAAATACAGGTGACAGGTACAGCGTTGGGCTCTTCACTTACTTGCCGGGCTTGTCGATCAGACCTCCATTTGCCTTTTGGCAACAAAGCAAAATGTATTCCTGTAGTGCTTCAACATCAAAAAGTGTCTGATCCATGCTTTTGTCCGAGCCAACCAAAGTAGCCTGTGTTATCGGAATGGTAGCGCCTACCCAGAACGAGTAGCAACCATCTACTAGTTTATTGGTGCGTCCCTGAAAGCCACCCTCATAGCTCATCTGACGTCGCAGTGTCCATTGCAGCAGCGCTTTCTTGTCACACTTATTAGCCTGGTTGAGCAACGCGAGACTGGCAATGCCACAAAACGTATAGCCACCATGTGCTTCCAAATCAGGCGCGCCACCAAATCCACCCTCGTACGTCTGACAGCTGGCAATCCAGTCAGCGGTGCCCGCAAACAATTCTTTCAGTACCGGCTCAGGGACGTTGGTGAGCTTGGCGCAGGATATGGCACAGTATGCGCCTCGCACATCCGTCTCACCATCTACGTGCAGGCGATAGGAGCCATCCGCATCGCGCACGCTGAACAGAAATTGAATTAGCGAGTCCCGGTCGATGGCGCGATACGCGCTCTGGGTGCCAATGATGCACAAGCTGTTGACGGCAGCATAGGTGGGCGCCAGGTGCGCATATTGACCAGGTCCGCCGCCAAAACCGCCCGTGGGTGCGCGGCATCTGCAAGCATTAAAGTGGAAGCAGTTTATGTCTGGCCACCGCCGGCGTACAACTAACTCACTTGATGAGAAACTGCACCACACTGTCCAGGGTCTGCTCATCGAAGGTGAAGCTTAGCAGTTGCGCCGACTGCAGTATCCAGTAGATACACCAGGGACGACTGCTATCCAAGCACTCGTAGTTCGATGGCAGATTGCGCAGCATCAGATCCAAATACTGTTGGTGCTGTATGCGGTTTAGCTGCGTCACGCGAGGATTGAGGAATTGTGTCTGCTCGAAGCGATCATAACATTTCTCAACCGAATCTTCAGTTTTTTGCTAAACACGAAGCGAAAATCGTTTTTGTTCTCTGTTTATAAGCCATCAGCACGTACGTTGATTACTCACCTGCTCCCTGGATGTTGTTGTGGATACTTTTTCGTCATCGAATTTCAGGTTCTTAAGCTCTGTAAAATTGCGGAATAGGAGCTCGTCCGACGACCACATGGTTTTGGTATCAAAATAAAAAATTTAATCAATTTGAATTAAGAATTGTGCTTGTTGTATCAAATCGTTCGGAAAATGTTCGATTGAACGACTTGCTAAATGAACAAATGAACTAGATCACTGTCGGGTTCGTTAAATTAGAAAAACATATGTTTTTGGCGTCTAGCATATTCAAATGCAATTACTATTAAATCAAACTAATCAGAATTGTTGAGCATTTGGTTTTAAAGGCGAAGTTACAACAAGTTGCCTCTGTTGAACATTATTAACAGCGTCGAAATATCCGATTATTATTTATCGAATCAATCAAAAGAGTTCTTTGTGTAAATGAACCTTCTCAGATTTAAAATTCAAGACCACGATTTTAGATATATTTTTTTAAATAAAATTAAGAAAGGAAACAAATAAGCATTGAATAGATTAATAACATTTCATTTTAACTGTGACATTAAACTGGCTGAGGTCATAATATCATGTTGGACAAGTCTGTGACGAGGCGTCAGTTTCTTGCCTAAGTGACTGCCGGTGACTTTATACGGTTGTAGTTCGGCTAAAATCTCCAGAAATCCGTAGAGAGTCGTACACACCACTGCGTAGGTGAGAAAAGTGACAACGATCTGAAATATAATGACCAATGAGATCTGAAACAATTACTGATTATCAATTGCTGCTACTGATATACCTAATTGATTAACATGAACTCACAATGAGCAGCATTTCCATAGTCATAAAAAACCACTCTATTGCACTATATGCAGCCAATTTGTGCACTAAAGTATTTGTTCCCGACGTCACCTTGATGGGATTCTCCTTGTCATTTGGTAATGAGTAGCTGTCACTCTTTTTATCACTGCTACTACTATCACCTTTTTCTGCTGTACTGTTATCGTCACTGTTCCTTTTATGATGTGTGCTCTCCAAATCGTGTTCTTTATTCAGTGGCGTATACCAATCGTAATAGAAGCTTCTTAATATAGAGGTGGCTGTCGACTTTTTCTTTAATTTTTTGGCTTGTGAGGATTCTTTATAGTCTTCCGTTGATGTGTCTACATCTTTTAGATGCTGAAAACAATTGTTGAAGTCAACAAGCGATAGTTTGGCAGCAAAGTTGCATTCCCTTAACATTTGTTTTGGCTTTTGCTTGTTAAGTTCAGTTTTCTTTTCGGTTGATTGACGCTATTAAAAAATAAATATTAATATATTAAAATAAATTTAGGACGCAAACACAACTACAATTAATTGTACGCGTCCCATAGGCCCCGGCGAGATTCGAACTCACGATCTCCTGTTTACTAGACAGGCGCTTTAACCAACTAAGCCACGGCGCCATTTGCGCATGACCGAAAATTTTTAGTATGTAAGCATAGCATTGCAAAGCGAACGCTGTGTATGTGTATTGATTTTTAAGTTAAGTTGGCTGCACTTTTTAGTTTATATGACAAACGACAGATGGTGCTAGTATCAGTTTTAACAGTTAAGTAGGTGTATGTATTTTCATAGATGGCGCTAAAATCTTTTTTCACTCACGGTTTTCTTTCTCACATAAGGCTGCAGCTCCAGCAAGTTATTATCGAATTTTCCCTGCTTTAGCTGCTCTATTTCCTCATCAGTTATGAAATTGTTCATATCCATGCACTCATTAGCATAGAAATCATATATCACGCCCTCTCCAAAACAGGTCGGCACCGGCTCACACTCCTCCGACGTGCGATTGTAAAAGCTGCGCTGGCCAAAATATCGCTCCTCACAGTTAAGGGGCGTGCAATTGCGTAAATAGTTCTTATCCCAGTTCTTGCAGTCGGTAAAATCCTTGCGACGTCGCAGGGAATGATTGCTCGGATCCAAGGTTTCAAAGCGTGTATCAAAGTATAAAATTTGATTCGTTTTGATCATCTCGTTCAGGTGATTCGTGCTGCTGATGACTATGGGACAGCTGCCAACGCGATTGTAAAGGGACTACAATAAAAGTTAATATTATAAAACGTACTCAGCATGAGCTTAAGTACCTGCTAACTGACCACAGTGGGCCACACCAGAGACACGGTGACGCTACTCCCTGGTTCAATCGCGCCAAAGTCGCCGCCAAAAATGGTGCCTGCCTTGACCTGCTTGCCG